CAAAACCAAGCCCTGGGGAACACTGCTTGTGGCCAGCCACCAACTGGGTTTAAGTCCATTCACCACAACTCCCTGGGCTCAACTGTTCAGCCAGTTCTTTACCCGGTGAAAAGTACACCTGTCCAAGCCACAAGCCACCAGTTTCTCCAGAAGAATGCTGTGGGAGATGCTGTCAAAGGCTTTACTAATGTCCAGGTAGACAACATCCACAGCCTTTCCCTCATCCACTAGGTGGGTCACAGAAGGAGATCGGGTTGGTCAAGCAAGACCTGCCTTTCATGAACCCATGCTAGCTGGGCCTGGTCCCTTGGTTGTCCTGAACATGCCCTGTGACTGCCCTCAAGATGAACATCTCCATAATCTTCCCCAAGGTCAGGCTGACAGGGCTGTAGTTCCCGGGATCCTCTTTCTGGCCCTTCTTGGAGACAAGCATTGCACTGGCAAGCCCTCAGTTGTCTGGGACCTCCTCTGTTAACTAGGGCTGCTGATAAATGATGGAGGCAAGCTCCTCTGCCAGCTTCCTCAGTGGTCTCGGGTAGATCCCATCAGGCCCCATAGACTTGTGGGTATCCAGGTGGCTTAGCAGGACTTTAACTGCTTCCTCCTGGATTATGGGGAGTTTATTCTGCTCTCTATCCGTCTTCCAGCTCAGGGGGCTGAATACCCTGGGGATACTTGGTCTGGCTATTAAAGACTGGGGCAAAGAAGGCATTAAGTACCTCAGCCTTGTCCTCATCCTTGGTGACAATGTTCCCCCCCCATCCAGTAAGGCATGGAGATTCTCCTTGGCTCTCTTTTTGTTGTTAATATATTTGTAAAAACATTTTTTTGTTGTCCCTTATGACCATGGCCAAACTGAGTTTTAGCTGAGCTTTTACCTTTCTGATTTTCTCTCTGCATGACCTAACAAGATCCTTTCACTCTTTTTGAGTTGCCTGCCCCTTCTTCCAAAGGGGATAAACTTTTTTCCCTGAGTCCCAGGGAAACCTCCCTGTTCAGCCAGGCCGGTTGTCTTCCCCGCCAGCTCTTTTTACGGCACATGGGGACTGTCTGCTCCTGTGCCTTTAAGATTTCCTTCCTGAAGAATGTCCAGCCTTCCTGGACCCTTTTGCCCTTCAGGAAGTGACCTGAACAGGTCAAAGTCTGCCCTCCGGAAGTCCATGGTAGCGGTTTTGCTGACCTCTCTCCTTACTTCACTCAGAATTGAGAATTCTATCATGTCATGGTCGCTAAGCCCAAGATGGCCTCTGACCACCACATCTCCCACCAGTCCTTCTCTGTTTGTAAACAGCAGGTCCAGCAAGGCACCTCCCCTGGTGGGCTCACTTACCAGCTGTGTCAGGAAGTTATCTTCCACACACTGCAGGAACCTCCTAGACTGTTTCCTCTCTGCCGTGTTATACTTCCAGCAGATGTCCTGTGGATTGAAGTCCCCTACAAGAACAAGGGCTAGCGATTGCGAGACTTCTGCCAGTCACTTGTACAATGCTTCATCTGCCTCTTCATCCTGGCTGGGTGCTCAGGACACCCTGCACGATATCTGCCTTCTTTGCTTTCCCCTTCACCCTTACCCATAAGCATTCGACTTTGTCATCACAATCGTTGGGTTTGATACAATCAAAACACTCCCTAACATACAGAGCCACCCCATCGCCTCTCCTTCCTTGCCTATGCCTTCTGAAGAGCTTACAGCCATCTATTGCAGCACTCCAGTCATGTGAGTCATCCCACCATGCTTCTGTGATGGTGACTAAGTCATAGCTGTCCCGCTGCACAGCGGCTTCCAGCTCTTCCTGTTTGCTGTTTTAATCTCAAATTAAATCGAAAGCGGTGATCAAAACAGAAGATTTAAAATTATTCTCATGCTACTACTTCTCACACAAGATCTCTCAAATCTGCTATATTTGAGAGATAGCTGCTGCCACCTCGGTAGCAGCGAGGGTCAGGGAAACACCACCACCCGGTGGCTCCCGCACTTGTGGCCCTGCACTCGCAGACTGTGACCCTTCTCATGGGTGCATCCCTTGCGGCTCCCGCTGGAAGGCTGCACATTGCTTCCGGTACTTTGGGAAACTAGCTGCAAGTACCGCACTGTTCTGCATTTAAGCAGAAAATAAACCTCAGTTCTTTCAAGTCAAGCACCCAAAGGAGAATGACTATCCAGGGAGGAGCTCTTGTTCCACAGGTTTTTGAATCTGTATTTACAATAAAAGTTCTCACAAATACTGTCATTAAACTAACAGCTCTGAGAAAAGAGAACCTTTATAAAATAGGGTGAAATTAAGATGCATCCTTAAAAGTACACAGGATGACATCAGATAAAAAGAAAATACAAAGCAGTTAACAAAGCAAAAATTGTTTTTTAACTGAGTAGGCAACACATGGTATTTATTCAGAGTAGAATAACTTCAAAGGAGGAATGGTAAATAGAACATTATGTACTGCATTGAAATAGGCACAGTGAACGCAAAGGAGGTAAGAACTCTCAAAGCTGCCTCCTGACAGCCCATTCTTGCAGCTTCTAAGCTTACACCTAGGTTTTCAGACTTACACCTAGATCTTCAACTGGATCTCGAAGAACTGAAGTTGAAGAGAATTATAAAAATCAATGTGTATGCATGTATATTAAACTAAAAATTTGGGAATTTATACTCACAGGCCATGGCTGAAGATTTTTTAGACCTTCTTCTACTTTTTCAATATCTGCAAATTTTGTAGCCCCATCTGCATCAGCCATAAGAATTTTTTTGCCCCGAGAACTAAAGACACCCTGCAATCAAAATAGTCAATAAAAATCAACACCTTTGAAATCAGTATTTGTCATAAGCTAGCTGCAAGACACTGCAAAAACCTAATGTAGTAACTAGAACAGTGGTATCTCAAAGATCCAACACAACAGGTGAGTCTTAACGTTCTGCAGCTAACAACAATTTCTCTATTTATATTGTAGTAACATCCAGAGACTTCACACACTGAGTAGTGCCCTCCAGTGACAGACAACGCATGAACATGAAAGGTTAACAATCCCTCTCCAGAGAAGCTTGCAAACTAAAAGCTTTACAAAACAAAATAGTGAGAGACAAGAAGTTGCTATAGTCAGCTATACAGGGGAGCACAAAGAAGCAGTCACTAGCAGCTGCCACTGCACTGGATAGCTTTTCTTTGTCATCTGAGCTATGGAAAGGAGGATGCAGTGCTATTTTTTTCCTAACATTGTTTCATGAGAATTCAAGAGATAATCTTGAATTAGTTTTGAAAAATTTAAGTCACAGTATTGCTGCAAAACATTTGTGATGCACCAGGTGTTACAGCTTGTTTTGCCATATTCTTGGTGAGAGGTATTTGACAATTTTTGAAGGGGTCCAGACAGGAAAACAAGTAGCAGTAGGTTTGCCAAACATACTGTCATATAATCATGTATGTGTGACTTTGGAAAAACCTGAAAAGGAAGTAGTAGTATAGACACCCACTCTATACTCTGCAATGCAAAACTATATCACACATAAAATCATTCTCCTTCTCTTTGAGTAACTTAAAAATTACATCCCTCCACACTTTCTAATTTAGTGTTTTCTCCATTTGCTATAGTTATTCATATATCATACAAAAATTAAATTGACATATTAAAGATAGAGCTTAAAATACAGATACAGACAGTCATAACCCATAAATGATACCACTCTTCTACAAAAAAGGTGCCATTCACCTTAGGGAAAAAAAAAGATTCCTTCTAAATGTGCAACAGCTATTTTATTTTTAGAACATGATGATTTTATGATAATATTTATGTGCAAATTAATATGTGAAAGCATAAATTGTGCTGGTTCTACTATGAAGTGTGGGTGATAGCAGTGTGCTTCAGTAAACAGACTGCTGGATGACAGTGTTTGCTCACTAGCCATTTTTAAAACCACAACTATGACCTGGAAAGCAACGTTTGCAAATTTAGCGGTATTTTGTCTACAAAAGCTTTACTTTAATCTGTAAAGTTGGTTTTTTGTTTTTTTTTTTTTTTTCCCTTTTGGTTGTTTTTTTAAAATGCAAGCATATTTCTAAGTGGAACTAACAGGAACATGAAACTCAAGTCTAACTTTTTTTTTCCTTTTGAATTCTCATATAAAAAAATTATTTGTTATTGATCCTCTTGGCAAGAAAATACTGTTTCCAAGATCTAAAATGAGCTTATTTTGGAAAGTTTTGGCCTAAATGCCTTTATTTAAAATATTTATTTATTTATTTTAAACCGGTACTCAGTTTTCTGGTAATAATTTTCTTAAGGTATTGAATCCAAAATGTCAATCAGCACAGCTCTATCTTCTGCATATCTGGGCACAGGTAGTTCAGACAGAGAAGGAGATGAAAGTATCAATTACCATCCTGACTGCTCCTCCTTTCCCTCGATTTTTTACCAAAGAAAGCACTCGCACTTTGTCACTTCCATATTTCTTGCAGTACTTCATTGCAACCTGATAGACACACAAAAAACCAGCATAAAACAAAAATAGGAATCAAGGTAGAAGTTTACATTTGCTCACCCTTTTAAAAAAAAAAAATTAATAGCATAGAGCTATAAGCACTTCAGTCGGCACAAATACATTGCCAGTGTTTGCTGGAGTCTGGGAAAATAAAACCGAGTTCACAGTCAACACAAGAAGACTGAAGAAGCTAGTCATGTTCAATAAGAACAGGATATTCCCCCAAGCAATTCTACATCCCATTCACTCAAGTCCAAAAAACTCAATACTAACGTAATTTATATCATAAATATACATAAAAATGTTACAGAACTTTTATACCAACAATAGTTAACCAAAGAAAAATAATCTTCTACTGTTGCTACCTACTTCTTACTTGTCTTGCTGTTACCTGTAGTTTTAAACAAAAATTCACAGTGATCTAAAATCCCATTACCACTGCAGGGATGTGCACATTTTGTTCCATGTTGTGGGGAAGAGAAAGCATAAGCTTTCTCCTCCAATTTTTTCTAAAGGTTGTCTCAAGGCCTTGTAAGTCCAGAGGCCCATGGCCATAGTGTGGTCAGCTAGAAATGACGCTAGAAGGAATACAAAGCAGTCAAAAAATACATACGAGCAATCCTTAATGGACGAGCTTAAGGGAAGTAAACGAAAAAGCAGCAGTTATTTTAGTACCTAATTCTAACATCTTCCAAGCAGCTTTAAAAAACCTCCAAGCTGGTGCGCCTTCCTTTCCAGTGACATACATCAAAATTGAAGCAGAAGAATGCAGAACTATTTTGAAAGTACTACTACTGGCACTGGGATTTTTAAATGAACATGCCATAAAGGGTATGGGAAAGAGCTATACAACCTGTCAGTTGTTCTGTCAATCACAGTATGAATCAGCTATTTTATAAGGCTTTCTAGCTTCCTCAAGTTCATATTCACATCACCATGCACGTAAAAAAATATTTCATAAAAAATTTGTTGAAGATCAGAATTTTCAGAATCTCAGCTGAAGGAAAAAAAAGCCATCAGTTAAGAGTACTACTATTTGCAAAAAAATCGTATGTGTATGCATGTGTGTATGTGACATCCACAATGCATATAGGACAAGGAGAGAAAGCATTCAGAAACATTAATTTTAATTGTCAACTACTTCAAGTGCCAAAATGTAAAAGCAAAATATTCACAAATGCAGTACAAAAATCCGTACCTCTGATGACTTGGTAAGACACCTCTTTTTCTTACCTTTGTGGTTTGATCTTTACTACCATCATCAACCACTATTACTTCATAAGTGAAGGAAGGATCTTGTTTCTTGAAAATAAACAGAAATAATGTATTTCATCCAATTTCTTAAGTAGGCAGTAGGTCTTTCAAACATCAGCATTCTTTTCTCTAGCAGTTTTTAACTCGTTCATGTTTGCCAACAGGTACCAATATGATGTAGTGAATTTGTTCACATGGCAATAATTAAAAAATTTTGCCATACTTGATGCCTGTTCCATTACATTGGCTTGCCATAGTTTTCCTCAGCTACCATCTAGAGCTGAAAAATCAATTTAGTTGTAAAAGATGAAAGCCCAGAACAACATCACTGTTAAGAAAACTCAAACAAAACAAAACTCATAAACTTTCACAATGGGCTTCTTACCCAGAGAACAAATCCTAAGAACAGATGCTTAAAAAACTTGTTGGAACAAACCAGGATTTAGTTTAGAAAGCTAAATGTATGGTTAATCCTTAATCTCTCTCTTGCAGAGATATCACGCATACAAAGATTTTTCATCATATAGTAGTAAATTAAATTTTTACTTAATTTAAAAATACCTTCCGGCATTCAATCTAAAAATAACTGACAAAAGACAGAAGAGTTACTTCTAAGTGGCTAAGTAATACTGCTTTAATGCATACCAAAACAACAAAGTGAATAGATCACTGACTTATTATACACAATACAAAGATAATGAATTCTGAATGCAAAATGAAAATACCTGTCTTTTTTCTAGATAATCCAAAGCTTCATCCATCATAAGAGGTACTACAGAAAAGGTAGAGGTCAGGTTAGTAGATTATAACAGGCAAAGCACCAAAAGCACCAAAAAACACCTGCACAAGCAAGCTGAAAACAACCACAAAGCAAAGCTGACTAAATTGTCTCATTCATACAACACTAACTTCAATAAACAAGCTTAGCACCTGCAACTGTCCCGTCAACAAAGTCCTATCCCTTCTGAATGCAAAAAGAACAATGAAAAAAATCATTCATGTAAGACAGGATAAAAACATTTATTTTAAAGAACTAACTTTCCATTTTGAAATACGGTATATAAGAACCAGGTCTGAGGAATGCACTGGACTTGAGAAAGGGCCAGGCCTACCTTGTGTCCCGATACACTTTACCTGTCAGTATCTCTCTTACTGGAATCTCAAACAGCTCAGTCTTTTCACTCATCAAGAAAAGGAATGACAACGTGTGCTACCACATCAATCCCAAGTACAGCTTTAGAGCTTGATCATTTCTATCGCATCTGAAAGCCTTCACTTTTTAGTATCAGGTACTTATATATATGGTAACATCAAAAGTCAAACAGAAACAAATGAGATCATCCTTTTCCTGCTTGTCTGAAGCTGCTGCTGTTGCTTACAAAGTGGGAAGCTCTTGAATAAATTTTAAAAGTCTTTTTCTACTTTTTGCCTTACAGCATTTACAGGAGCAATGAGCAGCCATTCTGCTGGACTTCATTAAAATAAAGAGGGTTCTTACAAGTGCCCCATGTTATTTTTAGCAGCAGAAACCAAGTTACATGGTGTCTTATTTTGAAATTCAATGTACTTGGAATGTTTTCTGGAAACTGTGTCCAAAATCAGATACATAATCTGGCCTGCCAGAATGTACTGCTAACATAAACTGACCTCTGCATTATTACAGTAACAACAGATAAATTTTCTATTTTTTCTCAAAATATGAAAAATCTTACACCGGTCCTCCTCATTGTACGAAGGCACAACAACAGAGAGTTCCCTTGTGGGGGGATCATGTATACTTGGTACAGATTCTTTCCTGCCTTCAGCATTTACAAAGAATTTCTCTTCTTCATGTCGGTGAAGGGTTGGCATTTTTATGGCAGTTACATGAGCAATCGTACAAATCTGTGAGGAAAAAAGAAATGAGAAAAATGGTTGAGCATTCTATTAAAGGTTTACCTAGCTGTGGAACATGTTACAAGGGGCAACCAAGTATTCTTCAGCAATGAGGTGGGTCAGCGGTGCAGTACTTCACCCACTGACCAAATCACACAGGACCAAAACCTTCTCAAGCCATTTGATTACTCCATTTCACTGACTCTGACCACTGTCAGCATCATTGGCTTGTCACTGTTTTCAATTGCAAAGCACGCAGAAGCCTCCAAAGTTGTGGTCCAAGTCCCACTGCCCCTTCCCCAAGTAATCACTACCACCCAAGCTGGCACTGTCTCTGACCCTGCGCAGAGCCACTGAAGTCAATGGCACTACTCACGCCCAGTCAGCCATATGTGCTTGCAAATGAGGCTGGCTCTGGCCATTTTTATGCAAGGCTAAAATAAATAGAACTTGCTTTTTCGAGTACTTTTGCTTGAGAACACTATACGTGGTACTGTTGACGGGCAGCAGAATTTCACTTTCCAGGTGTGGAACTTCTCCAACTTGCGCGGTATTTCAGTCATACAAGACTCCCAAGTAATTACCGTAAAGCGTGTTACCAGGATATTTTACAGCACGCACCAAAACGACGAAACGCTCCATTTTTACCTCCTGTGCAAAGCTTTTCACTCCACGTCTTGTGAAAACGCATTCCCTGCATAAAGCCGCGTACAACCACGGCCCTAACAGCTACTCCAGATACGCAGCCAGGTGTTACCCGCGCTGCAGGCCA